ACGTTCATTGGATTGCCAGACAGAGAAGCGTGATTGGTCACTCCAGAGAACACGGCTCCACTGCTCTGGAGTCCAGTGGCGGCGTGCTTTACACCACTGCATCCGTCACTTTGCATTGCACTTGGTGATGTAAGGCTTGGATGCAGCTGCTGTTGAAACCCACTGTTGAAAGAAAGCCATAAGAAATCTTGTTTGCATTTTACGAGAAGCCATGTGGGGGACACAGCAAACATGTGAACGTGCTCTGATCAGATGAGAACAAAATTGAACTTCTTAGCCTAAAAGCAAAACGCTATGTGTGGCGGAAAACTAACACTGCACATCACCCCAAATACACCATCCCCACACTGAAACATGGTGGTGGCAGGATCATGTTGTGGGGATGCTTTTCTTCAGCAGGGACAGGGAAGCTGGTCAGAGTTGATGGGAAGATGGATGGAGCCAAATACAGGGCAATTTTAAAAGAAAACCTGTTAAGAGTCTGCAAAGGACTTGAGACTGGGACAGAGGTTCACCTTCCAGAAGGACAAAAAGGGAGGACTCTGATGGGCTAACCTGGATGTAAGGGAGGACTCTGATGGGCTCTCCTGGATATAAGGGAGGACTCTCCTGGATGTAAGGGAGCACTCTGATGGGGTAACCTGGATGTAGGGGAGGACTCTGATGGGTTCTCCTGGAGGTAAGGGAGGACTCTCCTGGATGTAAGGGAGGATTCTAATGGGCTAACCTGGATGTAAGGGAGGACTCTGATGGGCTCTCCTGGATGTAAGGGAGGACTCTCCTGGATGTAAGGGAGAACTCTGATGGGCTAACCTGGATGTAAGGGAGGACTCTGATGGGCTCTCCTGGATGTAAGGGAGGACTCTCCTGGATGTAAGGGAGGACTCTGATGGGCTAACCTGGATGTAAGGGAGGACTCTGATGGGCTCTCCTGGATGTAAAGGAGGACTCTCCTGGATGTAAGGGAGGACTCTGATGGGTCCTCCTGAAGGTAAGGGAGGACTCTGATGGCCCCTCCCGGATGTAAGGGAGGACTCTAATGGATTCTCCTGGAAGTAAAGGAGGACTCTAATGGGTTTTCCTGAATGTAAGGAAGGACTCTGATAGTCTCTCCTGGATGTAGGGGAGGACTCTGATGGGTTCTCCTGGAGGTAAGGAAGGACTCTGATGGGCTCATCTTGATGTAAGGAAGGACCCTGATTGGCTCTCCTAGAGGTAAGGGAGGACCTTGATGGGCTCTCCTAGAGGTACAGGAGGACTATGATTGGATCTCCTAGAGGTACGGGAGGACTATGATTGGATCTCCTAGAGGTACGGTAGGACCTTGATTGGAACTCCTAGAGGTACGGGAGGACTATGATTGGATCTCCTAGAGGTACGGGAGGACTATGATTGGATCTCCTAGAGGTACGGGAGAACCTGGATGGGCTTTCCTAGAGGTATGGGAGGACTCTGATTGGCTCTCCTAGAGGTAAGGGAGGACCTTGATGGGCTCTCCTAGAGGTACAGGAGAACCTTTATGGGCTCTCCTAGAGGTATGGGAGGGCTCTGACTGTCCTAGAGGTATGGGAGGACCCTGATTGGCTCTCCTAGAGGTAAGGGAGGACCTTGATGGGCTCTCCTAGAGGTACAGGAGGACTATGATTGGATCTCCTAGAGGTACGGGAGGACTATGATTGGATCTCCTAGAGGTACGGTAGGACCTTGATTGGATCTCCTAGAGGTACGGGAGGACTATGATTGGATCTCCTAGAGGTACGGCAGGACTATGATTGGATCTCCTAGAGGTACGGGAGAACCTGGATGGGCTTTCCTAGAGGTATGGGAGGACTCTGATTGGCTCTCCTAGAGGTAAGGGAGGACCTTGATGTGCTCTCCTAGAGGTACAGGAGAACCTTTATGGGCTCTCCTAGAGGTATGGGAGGGCTCTGACTGTCCTAGAGGTATGGGAGGACTCGGATTGGCTCTCCTAGAGGTAAGGGAGGACCTTGATGGGCTCTCCTAGAGGTACAGGAGGACTATAATTGGATCTCCTAGAGGTATAAGAGGACTCTGGCTCTCTTAGAGGTATGGGAGGACACTGATTTGCTCTCCTAGAGGTAAGGGAGGACCTTGATGGGCTCTCCTAGAGGTACAGGAGGACCTTGATGGGCTCTCCTAGAGGTATGGAAGGGCTCTGACTCTCCTAGAGGTATGGGAGGACTCAGATTGGCTCTCCTAGACGTAAGGCAGGACTCTGCTTGGCTCTCCTGGATGTACAGTAAAGGACAACTCTGATGTGACCCTCCTACTGAATAATTTGGAGACCCCTGAGTACCATTGCTGTGTTGGGAGGGATAAAGGAGCAGAAGGCTGTTGTTTCTATGAATAAAACCCAATATTTGATGTGGGATTCATTCAGACTGTAAGCTGCGTTTTTTGTCGTTTTTTTTTTTTAGATCTTGTTGTTCCATATGTTTTGCTAAATTGTCTCATAAATAATTCCGTCATTCATCGGAATAATCACACCACTTATAAAAATAGAGTCTTCAGACAATGAGCACAGTGTCATTTTTCATACAGCAGCTGCCTTTCACTTCAGAGTCGAATTCTATTTTCTCAGAATGAGAATGTTCCTTAATTCCTCGCTGTGTCTTTGCTTCCCTTTCCAGGTGCCAGTCAAGTATTTAAATTTTCCCGTGGCCCACATTCGCTAAATGGCTTTCTGCCATGAAATCTTCCTGGTCTGGCAGACACCAGAGGCCCGGATCAAATCAACATTTGTAAATTGATTCATAATTATCTTGTTGACGTGTGCTCTGAATTTCAGGGCCCGTTTTATTAGGAAGCTTTTTTCATGCTGCTGTCAAGGTGCCAAGAAGGAGATGCTGGAAGTCAATGACTTGGCTCTAGTCTACAGAAACGATCAATGGAGTCTGGGAGTAGGTATAGAATGTATGTGATAACTTAAAGGTGGACTCCGGGCACAAAAACTTTTAAAGTTGAACTCTGGTCCTGGCAAGTTTTGGCCATTTGCATTGTAAAAATAAATGAATAACCTGACTGATTATAGGGCCTCATGCACACTGATGGTTTTATTTTGAACTCCCCTAGAAGCCTCCTCCTGGTAGCAGCATTTTGGCTAAAAAACCACCTGATGTTAACCACTTGCCCTCCAGAGGAATCCCCCCTTTCCTGACCAGGCCATTTTTTGCGATACGAGGCTTCAGTACTTTAACTGACAGTTGCACGGTCATACGACGCTTCACCCAAATGAAATTTATGTCCTTTTTTTCCACAAATAGAGCTTTCTTTTGGCGGTATTTGTTCGCCTGTGTGATGTCCAGTAAAAAAATGTAAAAAAACTAATTTTGTTATAAGTTTAGGCCAAAATGTATGTCTTTGCTACAAAAAAAATGTCAATACATGTAAATTAGTTGGTTTACGTGAAAGTTATAGCGTTTACAAATGGCGGTATATATACTCAAATTTATTTTTTTTACTAGTAATGGCAGCGTTCAGCGACTTATAGCAGGACTGCGGCAGGCATTCTGACACTGTGGGGAACTGACTTGGTGTCACTGACATATGTGCTGTTCCATTATGGGGCTTCACTGTAAGCACACTGCTTTGTATGGCTCTGCTATGCAGTGTGCTGCAGCTGACAGGGGAGAGATCTGTTGTGTTTACATATAGGTCTCTCCGGCGTCGGAAATCCTTGTAGTTCGTCGGGTGCCAACAGGGAATCAACGGCCGGGACCCAGTGATTGACAGCCGAGGCCGCGAATGGCGGCGCGGGTAGGGTACCTGGAATTGCAAAATCACATATATACATGATTTTTTCGCACTCGTGCCACCCTGTAGCAGTATTTCTGCTACAGGGCAGTGCGAAAGCGGTTAGTGCATACGGTGTTTACATGCATTTACCCTTGTCAAGCGTTTGGGCGTTTATTAATTTCATTGGCCAGAATAAATCATTTTTCCAATGTTAATCACTTGGTATTTCTGACATATTGCTATTTTATATATACAGTGTAATATAATTCTACAGATTGGGATTACTTCTCAACAAATGAGAGCCCTTCAGGGATGGGAGGAGCAGAGCCAAGGATTATGTGACCCCAGGCCAATTCATGGCAGCAACTTCCTCTTAAGGGGACATGGGAGAACTCAAAAGTACAGCAGGAAGTGGAAAAAAAAAAAAAGTTAAAGTATAACTTAAGCAAAACTTTTTCATTTGCTTGCTTCGAATAGAGTGGAGAGGGATTAGAACCCTCAGGATTTATTGCTGTCTGTACCCCCATTAAGGAGATTCACTCTCTCTATTTGTCCTGTTTACCATTGAAAGTAAAAGAAAATCCCACATTTTGGGTTGTCTCCAGAAAAGTAATAGAGGGGAAATCTTCCAATGGGACACTAGTTCTGGTGACCTGAGAGTCCCCAAGAAATTCCCTTAATTTGCAGAGATTTCCTTTAATTTCCTGTCTAGCTGCGGGGACAGAAAGTGAATGGAAATATCTGCAACGGGACACAGATGGTGAAAAGTAACCTGACAGATGTTATAAACCCCTCCCTTGCTCTAGCCAAAATGGAAAAAAAAAAGTTTTGCACATAGTTCTACTTTTACTATAACTATTCTTAAAAATGCTCTGTCCGCTATCTACAGTATCTTGCCTAACCTGTTTAACCTCTTGGCGCCGGCTGCACGCAAATCTGCGGCCTCCCAGCGTCTGGGCATTGACGCCGAGCTGCCGCACATTTGCGTGCAATTAAGAAAAACATATGTACTGAGAGCGTGTGCCCTGTGTGCTCCCAGCACACATGTCCAGTGCTTATGGAAAGGTCCCGATCTCCTCTTGCGATTGGGACCTTTCCCAATCATGTGACCGCCGTGACAGCAAATCACAGCGGTCACATGACCCTAAAACCCCGCCCCGTCTCCCAGCTTCTGAAACCCTTAACCACCTTCCGCCCGCCCTATAGTACAATGACGGGCGCAAGGCGGTTCTCTGGTTCTGATAGGTCCCCCGGACACAGCGGATCAAGGAAAGAGCCGAAGATGTCGGCTCGGTCATGTGATCAGCTGTGTCCAATCACAGCTGATCACATGTAAACACGGAAATGCCGGTTATCGGCATTTCTCTCCTCTCGAGCTGTCACGCTGACAGCTCGAGAGGAGAGCCGGTAATCGGCTTTCTGCGAAAGGGGATATGTACACTATGATCCAGGGCACTGATGATCAGTTTGCCCTGATGATCAGTGTGGCCCCAGAAGTGCCACCTGTCAGTGTCCATCAGTGCCATGTGCCAGTGCCACATCAGTGCCACATCAATGCCACATATCAGTGCATACCAGTGCACATCAATGCCACATATCAGTGCCCATCTGAGCTGCCTTTCAATGTCACCCATCAGTGCCAGTCAGTGCCACCTATCAATGCCAGTCAGTGCTGCCTTTCAGTGCCCATCAGTGATGCCAGTCAATGCCCATCAGTGCAACCTACCAGTGCCTCCTCATCAGTGGCCATCAGTGCCACCTATCAGTGTCCATCAGTGCAGCCTATCAGTACCCATCACTGCAGCCTCATTAGCGCACATCAGTGAAGGAGAAAAATCACTTATTTACAAAATTGTATAACAAAAACTAAGAAAAAAACTTTTTTTTTTTCAAAATTTTCAGTGGTTTTTGGTTTGTTTAACCACTTGCCTTACCAGGCACTTATACCCCCTTATTTACCAGGCTAATTTTCAGCTTTCAGCGCTGCTGCACTTTGGCAAATTGCGCGGTCATGCAACATTGTACCCATATGAAATTTTGATCATTTTTTTCTCACAAATAGAGCTTTCTTTTGGTGGTATTTAATCGCCACTGGGCGCTTTACTTTTTGCGCTATAAATAAAAAAAGTGCAAAAAATTTGAAAAAAAAAAGTTTCTTTGTTTCTATTATAAAATTTTTCAAACACGTATTTTTTTCTCCTTCACTGATATGCATTGATGAGGCAGCACTGATGGGCACTGATAGGCGGCACTGATGGGCACTGATAGGCAGCACTGATGGGCACTGATAGGCAGCACTAAAGGGCACTGATAGGCAGTACTAATGAGGTGGCACGGATAGGCGGCACTGATAGACAGCACTAATGAGGTGTCACGGATAGGCGGCACTAATATGCGGCACTGATAGGTGACACTGATGATGGGTACTGATAGACAGCACTGACTGGCATCACTGCTGGGCACTGACTGGCAGCACTGACTGGCACAACCCCTGGGCACTGACTGGCGACACTGACTGGCAGCACTGCTGGGCTGCACTGGTGGGCAGCACTGGTGGGTGGGCACAGGTGGGTGGCACTGGTGGGCACAGGTGGGTGGGCACAGGTGGGTGGCACTGCTGGGCACAGGTAGGTGGCACTTCTGGGCACAGGTAGTGTGGTACTGCAGAGTGGCACAGGTGGGGTGCACTGCTGGGCACAGGTGGGGGCACTTCTGGGCACAGGTGTGTGACACTGCAGAGTGGCACAGGTGGGTGTACTGCTGGACACAGGTGGGTGATCTGCTGGGCACAGTTGGGCGGAGCTAGTGGGCGCTGCACTGCTGGACACAGGTGGGCGGAAACTTGCGGGTGGCACTGCTGGGCACCGATCATCAGGGCACCGATCATCAGTGCCCTGATGATCGGTGCCGATCCCCGCTCTGACAACTGCCGGTTCTCGGCAGTACTTTCCTCACGATCTGACAGCGTGAGGAAAGTGCAGCCGAGAACCTGCACTTGCATTTCCCTCTGATCAGCGTGTCATTGGACACCGCTGATCACGTGGTAAAAGGCCGCTGTGATTGGCCTTTTACCACATCACGTGATCAGCTGTGTCCGTAGGAGAGCGCGTTCTGGGAGGACGTCATATGACGTCCACTCAGAACTGGCCGGCCGCCGTGTAACCGTCATTCGGCTATCTGCGGTCGGCAGCTAGTTAAGAAAAAAATAAAAATCCCAGAGGTGATTAAATACCACCAAAAGAAAGCTCTATCTGCCTAAAAAAAAATGATAAAAATTTCATATGGGTACAGTGTTGCATGACCGTGCAATTGTCATTCAAAATGTGACAGCGCTGAAAGCTGGAAATTGGCCTGGGCAGGAAGGGGGTATAAGTGCCCCGTAGGCTAGTGGTTAAAGGGCCGAGAGACGCCGGCGCCAAGGGGTTAAAAAAGATGTGTATACTTACCTATTTTCAGGTCCAGTCTCCTAAACTCAGAGCTAAGGCTCCCATATGTCAGTGAGTAGCTGCTGCAGGGAGAGGAGGGAGCACTTACAACAGCTGGGCCATGGGAGCCTATCGGTGATGTCAGGGATCTTGTGGAGTGCTCCTTTAACACAGAGCCGCAGGATCACGTGACTGGATTGGTAAAAAAAAAAAAAGGTAATTACACAGATCTTTTTTTTATATACAGTAGGTTAATTGCCTGCCACACAGTCACACCTGAGCCCATGTCATTTTTTTTTGCGCAATTTTGTGCATTTTTGGAGCGGCACCATTCATTTTAAATTGGCCTCCCTCTGCTCCAAGTACACACCAAAGAAACTCATGTGCCAAATTTTGGCACTGAGCCAGACGTGTTTGGCGTTGCTTGTTTTGCTGTGGTTTTTGTGCTTTTTGTCATACAACAATCGCTGCAAAATAATGACACCTCAACCACGTCCCGCATTTTGCTGCATTTCTGGAATCGCAGGCATAATTTATTCCAATATGCTCAGGTATGAACAGGTACTTAAAGTGGAGCTCCACCCTAAAGGGGAAGTTCTGCTTTAAGGACTGCTCTCCCCATTCCCCATTAAGGATTGGCACCTTTGGGGGGTCGGGGGGGAGAGGGTAACCGAATTTGACAGGTACCCACTGCCATTTCCGGTCCAATCGCCTAGGCGACCGGAAGCAAAAGGTGTCCTCCCTCCCCTGTAGTCTTTTGGGACACGTGACAGGTCCCAGAAGACTACAGGACCATTCATGAAGTGCAGTGCTACTCGCGCATGCGCAGTGGGTACCCAGCTATGAAGCCGCAAGGTATCACAGCCGGGTGCAAACACTGAAGATGCCGGCCTCCTGGAATACAGGACGGCCGGTGAAACGGGCTCCGGGGGATACACTGTGGGACCAAGGGACAGGTAAGTGGCTGTTTATTAAAATTCAGAACCTACAGTTTTTGTAGCTGCTGACTTTTATTTTTAGACAGGGTGAGTGGAACTCCACTTTAAAGTGGAACTAAACCCATCACTTTTTAACCATTTCCCAAAACCATAGCCATGTATGATAACTGTCATAGTTGCTTGTGCTCTCAACTGAACTGTCAAGCTATCAAATGGCTGGTATCATAACTGAGTACATGGGCAGCAGCCAGGGGCTTATGGGGCCCCTGTGTCCTTGCCCAAACTCAAAAAAGCCTATGAAAAAGTTACCAAGGGCATCTCATGGGGCCCCCTACTGACCCCAGACCCTCGGGCAGTGCCCAAGTTTCCAAATGGTCAGTCCGACCCTGGTAACATGTTAGCGTAGCCATAACCCAATCCACTAGCAGAAGTTGCCTTAACTGCGTGTGCTACAAATTGATCTCTTATAGAAGTATATTTTAAATTTAAAAAAAATTGCAAAGGCTATTCATTCTCTCTAGCTGTGAAAGCATCTTGATGGCCATGGGGTGATTCAGAGAAGATATCAATAAAATGGATACAGAAATAAGGGTCATCAAACATGGGTCATAAAGGAGGAAAGGGTCTCTCACTAAAACCATCGAAATGTGAGAAATAAAATCATAAACTGACATTTTCCTTGACTTCGTGCCTGAATTGCAGAGATAATGAGAAACAAAATTATCTGGGGCTGATGCCATTAGTGCTCTAAGCATATTCTCCGCGAGCAGAAAATGTGTATTTTCTAAAAATATATATCTGCCATTATATGGTCTTTAGAATCTAATACGTGAGGAAGATTTTCATTAAAAAGGTAGTGATCCAAAATTAAAAGATGACTGATATTAAGGGGCCATACATGGTATTGATCAATTTCAGTGCTTTAAAGCTCAATGTAGCAAACACAAAATAAAATTCCCACATGGTACTGCAGTGTAAATAGATAATATACACTGATCATCCATAACATTATGACCAGTGACAGGTAAAGTGAATAACATTGATTATCTGGTTTCTATGGCATCTGAAAGTGGGTGGGATATTGTTGGAATACAATGTTCATGTATTTTGTGCAACAACTACATCAGTATTCAATAGAGATATATTCTTCTACCAGTAGATGGCAGTGTTTATAAGTTTGTAGCTGGGTCTATGGTATACTCTGTTTTCTCTTCATCAAGTTTCCTGTTTCCTTGTTGCAGTGCTGCAGTAAAGCACATGTGGACTGTCTGTTCTGTAGGGCTCCTGTATATACAGAATTTCTAACAGGTTATGAGCCCATTCATAGCCAGCTACAGCAAATAAGTGCAAGATAGAACAGTGCAAGCAGAAAGAAGACTACAACAGAATAAAAGAAAATGGCCAGTAACACAGCTGCAACAAAGCTTTTATTTGCAAACCAGAACTACCAATCTTGGAAATTCAAGATGAAAATTCTGCTAATAAGAGAAGGTACGTGGAAATGTATAAATGAGCGTTGTGAATGTGACCAAGTGTCCTGCAACTGCAGGGTGGTTAGTATACGTCCTCACTGTCCATCAAATGCTCTCTAAAGAGCAATCTGGATGGCAAAGAAGAAACTTGGGTATGGATACACCATAGGTGGACTTGTATGGACATCTCTGACTTCCTGTACTTATATTGGAATGATGCTTGCAACTACAGGCACCATCTTGGTATCTTTCTTTTCAGCTATCCATTCCCTCTTTTGTAAAAGCTATCCTAGTGTCTGAATAGCTGCTGGATCGCTTTTACAGGCAGCAGGAGGGGACATCTCCGAAAGCCCACTGACGCCTCTCTGGGCTCTCCCGTGTAATAAGGGAGCCCGAGATCTGATCTGGAGGCTGAACTGGGTAACCACAGAGTTGGTCATGGACCGGCCATCTCTATGATCCTGGGAGGCCAGAAGTGAACTCATAATGTCACTTTTGGCTCTGGTATATGTAAACACTGCCATTTTTTTCTTCTGGAAAGTAGAGATCAATAGTTTTTTTATTGATCTCATGTTTTCCACGGTAGAGGAAATATTTGGCGTCTTAATGACCTCAGATGTCTCCATAAAGTGGACCTGTCATGCATTATTTCTATCACAAGGGATGTTTACATTTCTTATGATAGGAATAAAAGCGATGAAGAAAAAAATCAAAGGGACAGTGTAAAAATAAATACATGAATTTTAACTACTTCCTGACCGCCCTATAGCGGATATACTGCTGCAGGGCGGCACATGTGTGCAAAATCACATATATATACGTTATTTTGCATATCTGGGTAGGGGGTGTGCGCAAGGTGCACACGCACCTTACCTGCGCCGCCATTCGTGGCCATGG